TTCTTTAAAATAGTATCATTAAAAATATCATTGTTTACTTATTTTTGAGCCTTTTTACTTTTGGATCTTCAAGCCCCGCTCCCCCTATCTATATTTAAATTTATTTACAATTTTGAATAAGTATAGACTACAATTGGATTTATCTACAATTGGATACTACCGAAATAATTTGAGGCAACATGTTAATTAAAATTAGTATTTTTGATTATTTTAAATTTGAGTTTTACAAGCTATTTGTTTTAGTTTTATATTGGGCCTATTATAAAATGAAACATCTTATATTATAAAATTTTGTATCGCTCAAGCTGAATGTATTTGTTATTAAAAAAATCATAAGTTTGAATAATAGTAACATATATGCTATTGCAGTTTTTCACGCTGAGCACAATAACCCCAATTTTTAGAGGTATAAGCTCATATTAGAGGAATAAGCTAATATGTTTTAGGAAAGAAATATGACTTTATATTATTTTTAGTTTTTGATAATACTCTGTTAATGCAAACACAATTTATGAGGATAAGATATGTACAAATTGATAAGAATAAGAGAGTTTATTAAAAAAAACTATGAATAAAATACAAAAATTCTTAAAACAGAACTGTAAAGCGAAATTGATTAATACTGTCACACAATCCATGCATAAGCTTTTAATAATTTTTAATAAACTTTTATTAAACTCTGACTACTAGTTTCTAATCAAGTAACTCAATTATTATTTCTGGATTTAATTCGTTTTTGTAACAAAATTGTTAATAGTGGCTCCAAAATCTATGCACGAACGCTTTCATCGCAAGCATTCACTCGAGAACAAATCCCAAACATCGTTGCTGCTGCAGCGACGACCTGAGCGGATTGAGCTATGTTGTGTTAAAGTCCGATCGGGTTGCGAAAACATTCGGATATACCGACATCGCAGCAATAGAGATGGGGCGATATTTATCAATATTATCGAAATGTCAATACCATTCATACAATATGTCGACATGCTGAAAACTATATCATTCTGAATGCAATTGGGGATTACTGACATTTCATGCACATTGCGGAACAATTTATTGAAGAATTTTTCAAACGCGTTTGAAGCGAAATAAAATGTATAAAAATATGTATCGAACGTGTGTGGCTATATATATATCGATTGTTCACATTGTTTTATCAAAATTCATGTTTATTTCAGTAGCTGAACGAAATTTAGGTACTATGTGGCCAATTAATCTTTTATCGACAAATTAAAAATTTAACGTTGCTCGAATTTATGAGTCACTTATTAAATCAATCAAAAATATTAACAGATTTGTAGAAACGTTATTAAATATCATTAATCAATTGAATCGTTGTTTGTATAATTTTCCAATAGATTATTAAAATTTAATATAGTAAATATAGAGTAACATAATAGTTTTAAGAGGCTTCATACTATAGTATCAGTAATTTAAAATATGTATAAGTAATATAGAATCAATAGGCTTTGTAATAGGTAATAAAATAAAAAAAAATACAAAAAATCGTTAGAAAATTTTTGCAATAACATAGATAATCAGAACATTTTTATTATAAGTATAAACATTATTTAGTGATAAATTAACAAAAGTTACATTTAAGTTATTAAAATTAGCTATACGTTAAATTTATAATAAAAAGTATGAACTTAAATTACTTTAAATGGTATAAATATGTAAGAATGCTATTCATTCATTTCTTTATATTTTATTTTTATTTATTTTTTGCTATTTTCAGTTAAATTTAACTTTTTTTTGTTTTATTATACCTAGCAAACTATGAATATGTGTATATTTAACTGAAAATAGCAAAAAAACAAAAACGAAACTAAGAAATGAATGAATAGCATTCTTGTATATTTGTGTCATATCAAAATAATCTAAATTCATACTTTTTATTATATTTGATCAGATGTATACTTATTATAATGAGTTATAGCTAAAAACTCCGAACCTTCGAATATAGAAAAACACGAACTATTTATTTACCTAGCAAGATTGTTATTTCATTGATAACACAGTTTAAACAAAATAGTATTTTTCTGATTTTTATATTTTCTTTACAAAATTTCACTACGTTCATCAAATGATTAATGTATAATTATATTAAGAAAGTAGAAAATATTTGCAATATTATAATTATTGAACAATTAAAATGACAATATAATTATAATTATTAAAAATATTCTCTACTTTTATAATCTAATTATACTTTTAACATCTTTGGGACGTTGTAGTAGAGAAAATATAGAAATCAAGGAAAAAAATCAATAGCAGAAATTTTTAATATATAAATGAATGATAATAATTAATAATATTAAATAAATAAATGATAAAACGAGTCATATATGCCCCAGAAAGATTCCGAATTATGCTAAGCAATTACTAGTTTAATTACTCAAAAAGAAGATGTATTTATCAAAAATCAAATGTAAAACTTATCGAAGAAACTCTTAGTTTTGCCTAATATTCCCAGTATTCACTAATTACTATAATTAATTAACACTCACTAATCACTGTAAATAGTTGCTTATTATCAGGGTAAAATAAATAAATTGCCAACGGATTGCATATACAGCATTTGGATTACTAATAGATTTTAACACTAATGGTCTAGATAGCCTTTACTTATAATTAATGTTGGCTTAGTTCCAAATTAATATGCTAATAATAGTAATTTAAAAGCCGATTAACAAGCTGGTGGTCAAATCAATAAGTCAATAGTATTAAGTACCGAGTAATGCTTAACAATCATATTACATTAAATAATTAACTTCCATTTTTTTTAATCTATAACCAATTCAGATACACTTAGATTATCAATTGAAAATAATAAGTTTATGCATATGAGTAGTGTTATTCACATTAATGGGTTCATGAATTCAAATATTTCAAATTCAAATTTAAACCATGTCAACTATTGCTTCAGGAAATAAATGCATTATATCGAAGACTTCAAAATTAACAAAGTTTTGAAAACTATATTAAATTTGTAGTAACAAACATGCACAAGACAAGTAATGAGGACGCAATAAGGACATAATTTACAAGTATAGCTTTCTATCAAAATTGAAATATCAACTATTGCTTTTATGATTCAAATATGATCGTATATTACGGATATGGATTTCCTGAATTTAAATTATATGAATTTTATGAATTCAAATATTTCAAATATTTTGAAATCAACTCAACTAGTGCTTTAGGAATCGAATTGCACAATATCGATGTTGTCTGGGAAATATTATAATAAATAAAATGCGCTTAGACACTTTCGGAATTATGTCGAAATGACACTGATTTGATAACTAAATTAAAGGGCCAATTCTTCGATAAAATAGAGATGTTATGATAGTGCTAAGTGCTAGTCTATATTCGTATAAGATCTGTAAAACGCAATGTATTTGCAGTGCCATCATGCGTTTAACACATAAAACCTAACTTCACACATTTGGTATCAAAGCGACATCAAGAAGATGCACTCATGATAAAATTGCTATTTGGCATTTGTGCGTTTTATAGTTACATATTATTCATATGAAAAACGCATGATCACACAACAATTACATAGCTTTTTGAAAGTTCATTACTACCAACTCATACGAATATAGACCCATAACATAGCATTGCCATAATTTTTCTAATTCATCGGGGATTGGTCTCTTGAATTCAAATATTTCAAATAAGTTTAAATGGTAACAACTATTTCTTCAAAAATTACATCATAAAGTCTGGCAAATGTTAGAGCAGTAACATGCATTTATTAGCAAATTCTACTATAAAATAATCCAATGTTATGGCAACGCTATGTAACGTAGCATTTTTCATATAAAATTGTACTAAAAGCTGCTGAAATGTTATATAGTTGCTGTGCAGTCAGGCTTTTTAGATAGAAAATCTAACCTAGAAAACGAATTAAAGAAATTTCATCAAAAGTGCATCTTTGTGATGTGTCATAATAACATATGAGTAAAGTTACATTTTATGTGTAAAACGCATGACTGCACAGCAAATATATAGCATTTTGACAGTTTTTAGTACCATTTTATATGCAAAACGCTATGTAACATTGGTTGCCATAACATTGGCCTATTTTAGGGCAAAATCTGCACATAAGTGCATGTTACTGCTGTAATATTTGCCAGTCATCTATGTGATGTAATTTTTAGAGCAACAGTTCATATGATTCAAATTCATTTGAAATATTTGAATTCATGAAATTTATATAATTTAAATTCATGAAATCGATATCTGTCTTTAATGTTACCATTTTATGGCAGAATCGGTTTGTTGATGTGTTAATGAGTTTCGAAAACTAAATTAAATAAGTAGTTACTAACATGCATGTAGCAAATATGAAGATGAAATGAGAACATTATTGGCATATATCGATATCTATCAAATTTGAATTACCAACAATTCCTTTTATGAATCAAATACGATCATTTCGATACATTGCCAATATTGTCCACCCCTAAAGCGGATTTTATGCCAGCGATCTCTTCCCGTTAGTACGTGCACAATGTTACCATTTTACGGTAGAATCGGTTTGTTGATGAGTTTAGAAAACTAACTTAAATATGTAGTTACTAACATGCATGTGACAAATATGAGGATGAACTTAGGACATTATTGGCAGATATCGATTTCTATCAAATTTGAAGTATCACCAATTGCTTTCATGAATCAAATACGATCATTTCGATACATTGTCAATATTGTCCACCCCTAAAGCTGATTTTATGCTAGCGATCTCTTACCGTTTAGTAGTGCACAATGTTACCATTTTACGGCAGAATCGGTTTGTTGATGAGTTTAAGTTGTAAGTAGTTACTAACATGCATATGGTAAATATGAGAATGACGGACATTATTGGCAGATATCGATATCTATCAAATTTGAATTACCAACAATTGCTTTCATGAATCAAATACGATCATTTCGATACATTGCCAATATTGTCCACCCCTAAAGCGGATTTTATGCTAGCGATCTCTTACCGTTTAGTACGTGCACGGTGACGCTGCGGCTTTGGGCGTTCGAAGGATTGCATTGATATTGTCCGGAGTCCGCAGGCCTCGCTTGTTGTATGAGCAGGAACGACGTCGTGGTCTCCCCTTTCTCGGTTATGACCGAGACGCCGCCGCGCGGCGAGTCGTACGAGATTATCTGGAAATAAAAAACATATTCACGTTTCGAGAATAGTATCGATGGAGACAAGCATCGACATATTGTACGGCTTTGGCAACTTGCAACTTTATTTTTGTGAACGATTTCATGCTCATGCAACGCGAACGGAATTTTCGTTGTTAACTTGTTTGCACATGATATTTTAAAGCTACGATACAGGTTTTTCAAAAATAGATTAAGTGTTCGATGAATAACACTTGGACTAAACCATAAAGCAAGTTCGTACAATGTGGATATTATAATCTACTCATCATTGTGTATTCTTCTACAAAGTTCACAATCAGTATCATTGTTTAAATTTACTCTTCATAAAATTGTAGTAGAGTAGGGTGGGGCACAAAGATCCAATTTGACTTTGGGCAATTATATTGTAAAAACCAAACAAATTACATAACAACAAATAATGCATCAGCTAATTCATCATCGCAGCAATGTGTTTATTTGCTGTTTTTCATCCGGTCATCTGGTAAATTTGTCACCTGTCCATAGGCAGGACATAACATTGCCTTATTTTCAATTTTTAAGGAATTTTGCGAAATAGTAGCTACATTTTCCAACCAATACCAGATATAAATTTCATGGGTACATTTTTTACAGAAATAACACTTTATAATTATATAATCTTGATCTGGAATTTCGTTTCAGAAATATTCATCTGTTTTGTCAGAAATATTTAATCTATTGTTAGTTTAATCGATCTCTTGTAAAAACGCCTTTCTTAACTTAATTTAATTTTATTTATTGTTTTTTATTGTTATTTGCCAGGGTAAAGTTTCAGCTGGTCCTTTTCACGGTTAAGCTTTCATCAAAGATATTTAAAAAAAACTGTTGAATCTAAAAAGTAACAATAGATCTTATAAAATAGTTAAATAACGTACTCCAAGTTAAAGTCTCGTAAACTAAACAACAGTGCTCACAACCAAAAAAAACTAACAACGGAAGAAAATGCCTTTGTTAGAGATTTTCACACAATCCTGTTTATCTACTGATAGAGACGTTGTAAGAATCAGGATGATGGCTAGTTTTACATCTTTTGTCCTCTACTTTCTAATATTGTTGTTTAAATATTCCTAACTTTACTATATAGGTGGTTTTACCCCTTATCTTTAAGTCCTGCTCCACCCTATCTTAATAGCAAACAGTTTAAATTTAATATGTAATATTCATTAATTATTTTAATTCGTTAATGTGCTAGCAATTATCTTTACAAAAATGTTTCAACAAAAATAGAAATTAGTAGAAATAAATCTCTCAATAACATTGTGATATATACAAATTATGGACGATGACGTAATAAGAAATAGCAACACATATGTAAAATTTATTTCGACTATTCTGGTTAAAGAGTTGGAATACAGAAAAAAACAAAGATTAAAAAACAACATTTGTCATTATGGTAGTTTAACAAAATTCCAAACATTTATCCACAGCAATCAACTACGGGTCTCAGGTTAAATGTACCGTATACAAAAACGTTCTAATTTCACATAAGCTCTCTTAAAAGCCCGAATCTTGAAATCAAGGCATTTTAATTATATAAAGTGTGACTAATCTGTGCAGTTGTGGGTATATGTGCAATTTCACGAAAACGTATACAAAGGGATGTATCACACTCAAATTGTGGCAGACTAATGATGATGACAGAAGTTTAATGATCAACATTTCCAGTATCGGGCGTTGCGATGGTGTGCGGTTTATGTGATACTTATGACAGGCTCAACTTGAGAAATAACATCTTATTATGCGTTTGCGTTTATAAATGCGTCTGTAATTACTCATTCGGTCTTTATTTCCAACGCATACGTGTGTTACGACCCTAATAAAGGTTGCGAACAATCAGACTCGGGGGAAGAAAGTGATTTTGCTAATTTAGGGCATCATTTTTCATAAAACTTGAACAAATTCTAATAGGTGCAAGTGGTTTACTTCAAACGCCTATCCTGCTATTACTTATAAACAAATATAAATTATACAAAATATAAACGAACTATTGCACGTAAATGTTGTATGACTTTAATCTTCTTTTTATCCAACATAACCCATTAAGATTCAGTAAGTAAATATAATAGGTACTCTAGAGTTCATAAAATCTGTATTTATAACATGTAGATCCCAATAAATTTAAGATCTTTAATTTTAATAATATATCGTCTTTCCAAAAAAGAAAATTAACTCTTTTGAAACGAGCGTCGCCTATAAGTGTCGCCTATAAGTGTCGTCTATGAACGACATCAAGAATATCATCTTTTTATTCAATATTTATCACTGTGATTTAAATTATTGAAAATTCTAATTTGTTACTGCAATTTTAAATATTTAATTTTCATTTTCAAATATATTTACGTAAATCTTAGAGTATTTTGTGTAATTGGGGCAGTTTGCTAGCTCGCACAGAAGTGTCACTTCTTGTAATGAAAAATAACTAAAATCAATATTTAAAAACTGTATTATCTGCATTGCAATAATAACATTTAACAGATCTAATTAAATGTTTATTATACTGATAAATACTTACATTTTACTATTGAATTCAATAAATTTTATTTAGTTATAGATAATTGTCTCTCTATTTTAGTACAAAATTGGGCGTTTTATCTAGAATACGTCTCGCATGCCTAATTAAAATACAAACATAAAATTATTTTTCCTAGGTCATTATTTTGAATAATGGTGGGTATTGCTTAATTCGTCACTTTCGAAATTAATGAGAATGTCTGATACTTACCAAATCATATTTTAAAATCAGTTATTATTAATCGTCGTTCAGTGTAAATATTATTATTTTTCATAAATAAAACTCATTTTACAAGGTTTCACACATTTTTTGCTTGACGTGCTAAAATGAAACTAATTAAGGTAACTTTATGCTTCAGCAAGCAGAAAACTTACTACATTATTTTGTTTTAATTAAAACGATAGTTACATTATTTTTAATATTGCGGACATAGAAGTTATAACTCACTTTAACTGCTGCAATATATTTTTAAAATGTGGTCGTTTTGCAGTGTTTACGCAACGTGTACAACCACGCCCAGCAGCGGAAAACAAAGATTTAATTAGTTTCCTACTTCTTTTGAAAAACTAAAAAATAATGACTCTTGTTGATAATAGCTGTTTATTGTAGTATAAAAATCTGTTTATCTAGTCAGCTATATCTAATGGAAGAAATATAGTGCAACTTGTAATAAATTATTGATACTAATATCTATAAATTACCTATGTAAAAATTCTATGGTCTATGATTATTAGACTAGATTATTCATTTATCGGAAAGACAAATAAATATGAACTTAGATTTTGTTTCAGTTTTCACACATATACAAATACAGTATTGCTAATAATTTCTATTATAAATTCAATTCAATATAAAACTCATACTATTTTTTTTTTCAAAATATTATGATTAATATACTCTCAGTATCATATAAGCCTCTCAGCTAATTCATCATTCAGTATCGAATAAATTAAGAAGTTGAACTAGAATAAAGACAAAAGATGTGATAAAAGCTAAATTGATTTCATGATGTCATGCAGATTTATAGACTTTTTTTTTAAATTACATTTTTACCATATTCTGAAAACATTCAGAAATCATTTTGACATGTAGGGCTTAGGGCCTTTGACGAATTCGTGTAGTAGGACTCTTTTTGCAAAATAGGATCGATCTAGTTTCCTTTTCATCTCAAGATCGTGCTCAGTAGAGTCCTTTATTTGCCGACTCTTCTTAGGACTTCTTCATTAGTTATCTTGTCTTGTCAGTTGTGATATATTATAACTATATGTACTTAATAGTATTTGACTTCATATTTCATATAAACAGCTACAAAGAGCTTTACTTAAGATCTATAATCTAAAGTAGAATTCGATATCTTGCTGCCTGATATCGAGCTGGCCGAGGTTGGAATCAAACGTGATAGTTTATAGTTTTCGCTAGTCTACTACGTTAAACTTCATGCAATGACGGGCTTAATTATGTTTATGTTTATATTGTAATACTGAGAATTTGTAGAATAACACATTTACTCGTCTATTTCAACTTAATTTCATTAAATAGATATTTGTGTTGTATTAATCTAAAATGCAGTTCTCAATTATGGTTTGCATATACATCTGCCAAAACAAAGAAAGTAACGGTATCAGAAACTACATAAAAATATCAAATTTAAAATTTATTTATGATTTACGTATATACTCGTCATAGAGATGTAGCAGAATTCTGTGTATTGACAAATATTCTTGGCATGCATTCGAATGTTTGATCACTGGCTATAACAAAATATAGTCCTAAATTTCATAATATTTAGAATAATTTGAGACTGTACCAGAGTTAAATAATTAGTTGCAAAAAGGCTTTTTACAATAAACCTATAAATTGCCTCGATTCTAACAACAGTTCAACTGATGCGATACAGCTAACTGGTCAAATTACAACAAAAATGATCAGGGACTTGAAATCCTCAATTTAAAAAATCTCAACATTAAATGAATTTTAACCTTGCGGTCACCAAGTGTTTTGATAATCACACAAATGTAACATAAATTTCATACAAATATTATGAATGACGTCCAAAAATAATGAATTGTCTAAAGTTCAATTACTGTCTTCTATTATTATAATCAGTTGAGCAAACTGTCAGCACATGTGCTAAATGTCGTTTAAATATCTTTAGTTAAAAGACGCAAACTCGGTCGCTTGTTTCGTTTGCGAGCCCAATTAAAAGTTGGAGAGAAAATATGACGTAACACAAAGCTGCTGCTAAATGAGAATGAGAAGTCGACGTGTCGCTTACCGCATCGTTGTGGTTCCAAAAGATGTAAGCCGGAGGCTCCGGAGAAAACAGGACCACGCAGGTCAGGTTGATGGTGGAGCCTCGGTCTATGTACAGGTCCGGCTCGCCGATTATATTCGTTGTGGGCTCTGAAATAGAAAATCAATTATAAAAATATGAAAATTATTTATAAATCAATTGATATTTCTGAATATATTTTTTGTCATATGTCATTATTATATTCATTATAAAGTAAGTGCCAGCTCAAGAAGATGACATCAAATTTGAAATTTTATTCAGAATTTCAAAACGAGGATAGTAGAAATTCAAGTGACTATTACACTACATATTATACGTTTCAAAGGTATCTGAACATTTTGGCATACCTTAGAAAGAATGTATGTATGCGTGTGTATGTGTGTGTATGTGTGAGTGTGCGTGTGTACGGATACAAATTTTCGTCGACGATTTCGGGAACATAGATAAACCGATTTGAATAATCCGAAAAACATTCGATTCGTACTGATGTTGATTGACATGTTGATTAGTTTTTGGCAAAGGTAGATCTAGCTGTTCCGAAGATACAGGGCAAAAAGTGCCAAAGTAAAAAAAGTATTTATTGAAAAATAAAATGTAGTCGTGATTTGTATTAATTAATTGCTATTGTGCCCAGCAGTGGTGATATCGATTTGGACGTGGGCTAGTGCAAACTAGTCCCGGATGCGTTAGGTTGATGCCAGTCAAAACCAAGCCCGGCATCAGGCAGCTTTGATGTCACATTTCCACTTGAGGTTATACATTTCAAATATAGCCTCAAGTAAAAATTGCCTGTAGTGGGCATATATATATATATATATATATATATATATATATATATATATATATATATAGGGTGGTCCTTAAAAAGGTCATTTTCGAATTTCCTTGCTCCCAGGGGCTCAAATGGTTCCAAATAGATAAAAAACAATTCTCTGAAAGTTTTAGCTCTTAATATTAACGTTTAGATAGAGCGCAATTCAATCAAAGTTTGTATGGAAAGAGCATGGTAAAAAATTTGAAAATTAAAAAAACGTGTTTTAGGCGTAACTTAGCGACAAATGAATGAGTTTTATTCATTCATTTGTTCGCTAAATTACATCTAAAAAACATTTTTTTAATTTTTGAAAATTTTTGCATGCTATTTCCATACAAAACTTTGATTGAATTGCGCTCTATCTAAACGTTAATATTAAGAGCTAAAACTTTCAGGGAATCGTTTTTTATCTATTTGGAACCATTTGAGCCCCTGGGAGCAAGGAAATTCGAAAATGACCTTTTTAAGGACCACCCTAATATATATATATATATATATATATATATATATATATATATATATATAATCAACTAGATGGCCTATACCCATGAGACGTTGTCCTATACCCATGTCTACAAATTGTTTTAATATAATATACTAATATTTACCCGTTTACATAAAAATAATAATTATTGTTTTTTAAATTATTCTTCACGCCAAAATGCATATACATTTGTAATATGAGCGATGTTAAATGTAGAACTGCTTTAAATAAAATTATGAGTCTCAATTCCCACACTATATTGGAAATTAAAGTATTTTATACGGTATAACATAACCATAACCAAAACATAACACTGGTACTTCATGTTGGATTAAATCAATTTAATTTTTTATTATTCAAGATATCCAAAATTGCATCTTAAATTTATCCTAATCGATATCGTAAGGGTCGAATTGCATGTACTCATCTTTACTTTTTCATTTATTTATTTATTTGTTCCATTTATTTCTACAATATTGCACAGACATCCCAGTACTTTATAATCACATACATCAAAGATAATTTCCTTAACAAACTTCAGTAAGATTTATCAAAATCCGCAAAATCGTATAGAAGGAGTATACAGTGAGTGTTTGTGATTTAATATAAACTTTATGTAATAGCAATAAAGCTCATATTGATGAGAAAAGAAAAGGTCTGTTTTTAGGGTTTTCTTGACAATTATTTGATTTTTTCTCGCCTTAAAAACCATCCTTAGACATCAACGAACATTTTAAAAAAAGAATTGGCCAAATTGGTCTAGGCGTTGTTGAGTTATGCGCTTACCAACACATTTTGCGATCCTTTTTTATATATAAGATAAAATGCCATATAATACTCCGAGTAAAGTTAATTAGTCACAACTGGATTGGACAACTACTGGGTTGTCATCCATTCTAAAGGCAATTTAATAACGTCAAAACAATTACTGAATGTCTTATTACGATGGATTGTAATTAAAAGTATAACAACAAAAAATGGCATTAAAACACTAGATGCAAAAATCCATAATTGCTTTATGAAGTATTATAAAATGAACTTTAGAAGAACAGTCATGTTGAAATAACGTAATTGGATTGACTTCAATGATTTTTAATAAAAGTGACAAGTGGTTATACTAAAAATATCTTGGAAATTATTGATGGTCATGAAAATTCAAGGACGTTTGACACGTGTTCATAAATATAATTAATGCACCTTGTTATATTTTTCATGCACAAGCTACATAAATAGTCACTCCATTTCACTATTTATTGACACGACTCGAGCCCCATATATATGCAGATCGATAATCTATTTATATTTTGTTTCCGTATCTGATTATAAATTAAATCCCTTTGATATGCGACTTTATAAATTGTTTGTTTAGGTTTTTGCTGAACTTTGTCCTTAGATGTTTCTATTTATATAAAGCAAATATCTTCTTGTAGGGTATTAAGGATGAGATTCCGGAGTTGTAGGAACTAAAATGATCTGATAGTATTGTTGAGGCGAATGACTGAGTGATCGTTGCAAAAGAGGAGACCATCGACCATCGGAAACATTTCGCGGGGCTATTGTAGCGTAGTTATCGGAGTCTCGCAGTGGCGCGAGCGACGATAAATAAACTCATATCGCAATCCGGTCATCGGCTGACGGAGTCTCGGGGTTGGGGCATCTTTGCACGTAGCAATGGAGCCGGTAAAAACCTTACAATCAGAGAAAATTTCTAATGCAAGCTGAAGAAATTTTATAATTAACGTTTGATTAGGGGGCGTCCATTAATCTCGTGAGGTTTTTAGGTAGAGGGGGGATTTGACAAAAAATCACTAAACACCACGGGGGGGAGGGAGGTGTATAATAAGATATCACATGAATTTATTTTTAAACTGATTTATAAAAAACGATCAAATATTTTCAAAAAAAAATATTACAGTTTTATCACGTAACTAAAAATACACGTGATGCTTGGTGGGGGAGGGGGGGGGGTTAATTTTGAATATCACCATGTATCAGCAAGGGGGAGTAGGGCCCAAAAATCCTTAGAAACTCGCTCACGTAATTAATGGACGCCCCCTTAGTGGCGGGATTACTTCACAGAGTAGCGTTTCCGACTCACAAGCTGGAGGATCTGAGTTCAAAATCCCGGCAAAAAATTTGAAATAATATTGAGTAGTCAGTTTGAAATTATAATAGAATTATGAATTGTATTAACGAATACGTATGTAAAACTAATTAGAATCATGTATCAAGATTGGGGAATTAGATTTAAAAATTGATTGAAGTGGTAGAAGTAAGAAAAGTTTAGAAGATGAAATGAATAGATAGTAATGAAGGATGAAGATGAGTTGAAAAGTAAGAAGATTATGACTAAAATGATAAAGATATAAAATGGAACAGAAGATTGTATAGAATTTGATTGTATAAAAGTCGCTAAATGCTCGAGAAAGCGAAGCAAGAAAATATATATATATATATATATACGGTAAGATGGGGCGCAAAGATCCAATTCGACTTTCAGCAATCATACTGTGAAACCAAACCAATTACATAACAACAAATAACACATATATCAAAGAAGCTATATGACTATGTTCAGCAAAACTCCGAGCTAGCATATAATTGAAAAAATGTGTCTTTTTTTGTTTTTATAATTTAGTTTTTCAAAAATTTGTCACTTGGTTCTTTGTACCCCATAGGTAAAATGGAACAGTCAGGGCCAAGGTCCAATTATGAACATTATTTTTAATTTTGGACAGATTTTACCAAATAATACCTACATCATTCAACGAATGCAAAATATAAAGTTTATTGGTATATTTTTTACGTAGATAATAATGTATACCCTTGATCTGGTATTTTGAAAGAAATATTTATCTGCAGAATTGAATGAACTTTTATTTAATTTAACTATTGTCATTTTTTTCATCATAATTTACTTTTCATTTAACATTTTTTATTTTTGACACCGTTGCCAAGGTAAAGGTTCAGTTGGTCCTTTTTATCCCACCCACGTGTAGGCTTTTATAGAGATTATATAAAGAAAAATGTTAAATCTAACTTCAAAATAACAATACATCTTATAAAACAATTAAATTACTAATATAACCAAAAAAACTAACAGCAAAGAAAATCACGTTTATCTCCCGATAGCAACTTCGCAAAAAGCAATGTGTATATTGGTTATGCATCTTTTACACTATACTTTCAAATATTGATGATTGACAATTCTTAACTTGATATATTAGTGATGAACCCTTTTACCCGCTTCACTTTATTGTATATGTCGGAAAGAAGCATATTATTACTATAATATTATATATTGCTTCTTAATAACATACCAAAAATAGAATATATTGAATAAATATATTTGGACATATAACTTAAGAAATGAAGTTCTGCTTTGCTTATGTATATATGCATAAATTGAGCCCTTGCAACTCTTACATGATATAACTCTTACATATTACAATATAATGACAAAGAGAACTTGTACAATTTTTATGTTTAACTAGTTGATATTTATTTCAATATTTTCAATTTAAAAATCTAAAAAGAATGAGAGGTTTTGGGTTTGATACTCTTTTGATAGCCTGATGCCAGATAGGAATAACATCGCTTTTCACTTGGAAATACAGTTAGCAATATATTAAAATAGCCTTGACCTTGCATTACTGCATCTATAAAAGTTCATCAGTATTACAGAAAAAGTAATTATGAAATCCATTACTTAGCGATGAGACAACTGTTTCGGTTGCCATCTATAAAAAACCGACGTAGTATGTAAGTGATTAATAACAATTGCTCATAACTGATCAAATTTTAAAAGAAGA